GTCCCCCCCAACAACAACAACTACGGCAATGGCCGCCGTCATACCTCCAGCTGCCCTTTCCAGGAGACGTGAACCCACCACTAAGGATGGCAACGGGGACGTACCCGTCGGGTATCGCCGGAACGTTCTCTTCCCCGCTACGGAGAATTCATCCCGTCCCCGTCCCCGTTAATTGTCTCGGGTATAGATTCTTGTCCATCCCTGTACCCGTCGGGTATCGGTCGGGTAACAGATACCCGACGGGTACTGCATACCCGATAAACAAGGACACTTGGGGCCGCAGCTTTGCAATCGGAGACGTTTCTTCATCACCCGGGTATAAGTGTCGGAGTCTCGGAGATGTCGAGGAGAAGGAGCGAGGTTGCGAGGAGGATGAGCAAAGGTGGCAGAGAGACCGAACTGAGGAAGCGAGGGGCACGAGCGCTCGTGAGGTAGGCGTGCTTGTGCTGCTGGCGGAGATGGTGAGGAAAAATTAAACTAGGGTTCCTAGAACACACAAACTATATATATGATTGTTTAGATTTGGGCCAAAATACCTATGTTGAGCTTCTTTGGGCCTAATACTCGCATGACAGCTCAAATAGTCGGGTTCCCCAATGGGTAACGGGGACGGGTAAACAAGGAACGTTCCCGTACCCGCTATACCCGTCGGGGATGGATTTTTGCCCATTTAGATGTCCGCGGGTAAAGATATGATCCAATCTCCATTCCCTAATGGATCAAATACCCGTCGGGTATCGGGTATCGGGCCCCATTGCCATCTTTACCCACCACATCTGGTATGCCCGCCCCTTCTCTTCTTTTGCTGCTGTGCAAAACTGAGCACCCGAACCCAGCTTGAGCTATTTTGGCTATTTGTATTCGGATCTGATGTAATCACAAAGTGTATAATGTATACATGTATTATGGCCACTACCTTACGATTTTTTATCATGTGTACACCCATGTCGGTCCGCCCATCCTCGAAAAAATAAAAAATCCTAATCCCGCCTGGAATGTCGAGTGTTATGGGATGATTTTCTGGTCCCGTTCACAACCGAACCGGCTGCGCAATACGCGTCTCAGCTTGGAAGGAGAAGCCCATTAAAGGCCCAACTACAACTGTGAAGTAACCCTAGTTGCCATCATCCTCCGCCTCTCGTTTTTTTTGCCGCCGTACGCGCGCTCTGTCTGCGACGACTGGGTGGGCTACCGCCGCCGCCACCGCCGCCCTACGCCAGGTGCCGACCTTCTCGCCGGCGAAGAGCGCCCACCAGGTATTCCCACCCTTCTCTTCCCTGCATGCTGTGCGAAACCGTGTTCCCAAACTCTAACCTCAAGCTATCTATTTGGCTCTTTAACGCCTACGAACTTCTAACATTTTGCAAAAATTATCGGGTATACATGTGTACGTCCATGCCCATTTACTAATGCTCTCCTGGATGTGTTGCATCTGTAATCCACCAAAGTGTGGCTAGGTGCATGCATATTATCTCTGCAGCAGACATTGTATCCGAGTTCTGCAGATGTAGCCACTGCGTCCTCCTAAGTAGATTGTGTAAAAAGGCATCAGGGTATCTCTATGGTGCTGGAATAAAAGCCCACAGTTAGACAAAGTTCAATTCCATCTTTTTGCATATCGTGTCAAAGCTTTCTTATGTAGATTTGTGGTGCTGCATTATTTATATTGCTTTGTTAATTTGCATCATGTCGAACTTGCTGGAGATCCATATGTAATTTGTTGGGTTATACCTGAAGAATTTGAACTAGAGCACAAATGCATAACCTGTACACAACTATGTGTCATACTTCTGAGGACCATGTCGTAGGTGGGAGTTGACTAGTTATTTGTATTCTTTAGTTGCCTTTTAGTTTATTTATCCTGTGATACCTTGACCCCTATGTTCTTCCAGTTTAGCTGTATTCAACTGTGTGGTTCAAGTCCCATATGAATTTAGGTATTTGTTCTGTACTTTTGTTATGCTTGCCATGTGTAGCATTTTGTTTTAGTTTCAGGCAGTTCAAACTAAGATGGGGGCTTTGTGGAAATTTAGCTTCACCTCTGCCTTTCATACTATATTTTTTTTTGTATCACCGTCATTTTGGTTCTGTTAATTAATTTTAGCTCATTTTCTTTGGTAATAGTAAAAATGGTGGCCCTTGCAAATGAAGAGGCCTTGCCCCATGATGAAGAAATCATGGATGATGTTGATTCTGATGTTGAAGAATCGGACTCAGAAGATGATTCAGGTGAAGAAGCTCAGGCTAAGCCTTCAGACAAAGCTATATACAACAAGGAGGCTATTCTTGAAAAACTTGAAGACATAGCCTGGCCCAAGAATGTGGACTGGATGCACAAGCTCACTATTGAGCATGATCAGGGGGAGAAAGTTAATGTCAACGATGATCTTGCCCGCGAACTTGCGTTTTACACCCAAGCTTTGGATGGCACAAGGCAGGCCTTTGAGAAGCTGCAGTCGATGAAGGTCCGGTTCCTTAGACCAACAGATTACTATGCTGAGATGGTGAAGACTGATGCACACATGCACAAGATCAAGGGGAGGTTGTTGTCGGAGAAGAAGAGGATCGAGGAGGCTGAGGAGCGGAGGAAGGCTAGAGAGTCCAGGAAGAAAGCAAAGGAGGTTCAGGCTGAGAAGAAGAAGGAGAGGGCTAAGCAGAAGAAGGAGCAGATTGAGTCGGTCAAGAAGTGGAGGAAGCAGAGGCAACAAGGCGGATTCACCAAGGGAAATGATGATGTGCCAGACCTTAATTTTGAAGGAGAAGAAGGATTTAAACAATCAAAGAAAAAGAGGCCTGGTGTTTCTCCTGGTGACAGGTCTGGTGGTCTTGCTAAGCGAGGTAAAGAAGGAAAGAACAGGAGGACAAGGGATTCCAAGTTTGGGCATGGTGGTCGTAAAGGGCTGAAGAAGCAAAACACTGCTGAGACCACTAATGATTTCAGAAGCTTTAACAAGGGGGGTGAGTCTCAAAACAAGAAGAGAAAGAGGTTTTGAACTTTTGATGGATATTGTAAGAATCTGGGCGAGTCTCAAAACCAGAAGAGAAAGAAGTTTTGAACTTTTGTCGTTATTACTATTCTCATTGCGGCATTATTTTGTTATGGTGTGTGCCAGAAGCAAAAATTAGCTAATATTAGTCGAGGGAAGCAGTCCAAACACAAGACTTAATGTTTTGCTTTATCTGGTGATGGTCTTCTTTTATCGTGGAATGCAAATAAATCTTACCCCGCTGCATTTATACTCAAAGTTTGCTGCTGTTCTTCCTGTTGTTTATTCCTTCTGTTCTGCATTTTTTTTAGGTTACTACGCATGTGCAGGTTTGGTTGAAGGGGTGATAACATGTCCGGTCGATCATCTGCCTAACTCGCAACTCGTTGGTGGCCGATGATATGATGTACCTGTAGCGGTTTTTGTTTGATCCAATCCAATGCTCATTGGTACAGTACAGTGAATGAAATTAACAAATCTTGACACAAAATATACTGTTAGTCCAATTGGTCATGTTTGTTATTTCAATCACTCAAACCACAAAGGCCATAACATAAGGGCCATGTTCACTACACCATGACTTCAATTCACTTTAGCAAATAGTCACTAAGTACACCTAAAGAGAGTAGTCTGTCATACTTTGATTTTTCTTTTTGATTCGCATGGGTTAGTTGTTGAGCCATGTTAGGCATTAATATTGACATATAGAGAAACATGCAGCTCCCATGTGCCTTGCTCCACCATGAAGGCAATGTTCCACCTGAACCCCAACTGACGTCTATCCACTTAAATTCCAACACTTCACATATATATTATCTTGCATGGTACTATACGCGTGTACGCAAACATTTTTAGTATTTTAGGATGTAGTTCAGATAGTGACACGTACGTGCATAGGCAACATTCCAGATTCAGTGATATGTTTGCACTATATATATGGAATATACCAATGTAGCATGATATATATCTTCGTGGTACAGTGATTGATCACTGTAGAGTAAAGAATTATTAGCACTCTTTGAGCAGAAAATGAATTCATCAGGATACATTTGCACCAAAACGAACTACGACACATTAATTGATGTTACAATGCACGTACTTAACGTCGACCATCCAACAACTCATGCATGGCATGACTCGTCGCACAGCTTAACCAAAATAATAACCAACAACAACACGTCGTCCCTAAATAACTGTTGTTCTCGCTTTCAAAAAAATAACTTTGACTAATTTTATATAAAAAATATTAATATTTATGGTACATAATTAATATAATTAGATAGACCATTGAATCTATTTTCATAATATTATTTGGAGATACAAATGTTGTACGTATTTTCTACAAATTTAATCAAACTTACGACACGAAAAACAAAAAACGATAGTTATTTAGGGACGGAGGGTTGGTACATAATTAATATAATTAGATAGACCGTTGAATCTATTTTCATAATATTATTTGGAGATACAAATGTTGTACGTATTTTCTACAAATTTAATCAAACTTACGGCACGAAAAACAAAAAACGATAGTTATTTAGGGACAGAGGGAGTACATACTATTCATTCATAACAATGAAAAAAAATGAATTCTCAATGAGAAGAAGAGAGAGAGGGAAAGGAAAAATCAACAAATGAGACGGTACAGTCTACAGAGATGTTACATCATGGCAGGTTGGCCATAGTACTGCCTGCCACGCCACAGCTGGTCTCCTGATAACACACACATTGCATTGGCATGTAGATCACCCTAGGAGAGCAGCAAAAAAAAAAAAAACATTTAATTAATAACTAACGAATCCATCTCAACACCTAGCTAGCTAGGCTGATCATCAGCAGGACTAGTTGAGCGCCAGTGAAAAATCATCAACGGATCGAAGCTACTACTAATAATCTCACAGTCATGCATCCAGGCTCATCGATCTATCAGCCTGCAGGCAGAGGCAGCTGCTAGCAACGACGACAGTTAGCTAGCAGCAGAGTGCAGCAAAGCAACCGCATTCGTATTACGTGCTACCAGATCTTGCTGATCCTGCCGGCGCCGGCGCTCTTCTTCTTCGCGCAGCTGCCGCCGCTGCGGAAGGCGTCGAGGATCTGCTCGAGGCGGTCGGCGGAGCAGGGCAGCACGATGGGGCGGTCGCCGGGCTCGCCGAACTCCTCCTCGGCCATGCTGAGCAGCTCCCGGAAGGTGTCGCTGGCGAGGTAGTCGATGGGGATGAAGAAGCGGCGGCCCTCCCGGGTGTATGCCGCGAAGTGGCCTCGCGGGCACGCCGCCGCGCTCGGGGAGGCGACCTTGCTGCCGCCGCCGACGCCCCACTTCTTGGAGACGATCTCCGTCAGCTTGAGTGAGCGTGAGCCCATCATCATGGAAGAAATGCTGAGACACGATCGATGCGCCGCCTGTGCTGGTGGTGGTTAGCTAGTTTAGTTTGCGTGTGCGGCACATGCATATGTGTTGGAGCAATAAGCTGCTGGTGGCTGCACTACACTGCACTTGATCGAATTGGCTAGCTACCAACAGGTTTATTTGTGTTCTGCTATGTGGCTGCTGGTGAGGTGTGTGTGAGTAGAGGGAGCTAGCTAGCTAGTGGGGTATAAATAGGTGTTTGGGGGTGCCTCCGTTCTGTGACAATTCCCTGGCGGGGTTGTGCATGTGGGCCGGGGCTGCTGCTGCATTTGCTTGGAGATGATCATTGGGATTGCTGATAAATAGGTGTGCATTGCTTCATTACTTGCTTACTTAATTAAGCTAGACATACAAGCTTATTTTTGCCAGACCACCGGTCCTGCTGATGATGTTAACCTTTCTTGAGGAACCGTGGTTCGTACTTCCAAATGTGAAAAACTCAGCTCCCGCGTTCCCAATAAACTGATGAGGATGCTTATGGGTGTAAGTCAAATTCTATAAACTGTGATCAACATTATATACGAGAGTGTTAAGGTTTATCACATGAAAAATACATCAATATTGATATATTCGTCCTGACTAGTACTTCTAAGTGACTTTCTTTTTTTTTAAAAAAACCCAAACATTTGCTTAGAAAAAGCAATAGTGAAGAGGAGAAGTCCTCCATAGCTCCGGTGGTCACAGGAGTCAGTCCACTGGAGCTTCTGTGCAGAGAGGGTGTGTTAGAGAATCCAGTGGAGGTGATGCAGTCACGGGACCTGTCCATCCCCCCCCCATTGCTAGTGGCTCGAGGCTTAAGGCTTTGTTCGGCTGTCATTATAGTCATGATACAATATTTTTCTCCCCAACAAATCAACCGTACAAATCAACACGTACAGCAGGCTTATAAACCAGCCGAACATAGCCTTATCCATCAATGCTCCAGGCACCAAAAGACATTATGTTAATGCAGTTAACTAAACAGGTCTAGAAAACCACGGTAACATTTGTGCGCAAAATGGAGAAGGCTTACTACAATGTAGTAAGTGATCTCTATATGAATACAAGGATAGCTGACCATTATTTTGGGAAGGTCTAGTTGGCCATGGCGGCGAGGTAGCTGCCAAGATCTAATGATTTCTTAGAAAGCAGCTGGTTTAAAACACGAACAAAATGTTAGAGCTGTCATGATTCGTGACATGTTTTTTGCTTCGCTAGGATTTTTCTGGAACAACACACGTTTAAGCCACAGTCAGCTTCTGGCTCAATGCAGTCCATACATATATAATATTGCAAAAAATCCTTTGTTTTTAATAAACCAATAAATATTTATATTTTTGGACGGTTTGTTCCCTATCTTTATATCCTTTTTCATTGGTCACATGCATTATATTGTTAGCTATACCATGCATGACGTGACTACATACTCGTATATCGCATAGGCATGCTAGCTAGAAGGAAGCATTGTGCAAATGTAGTATTAGCATCATGTATTAGAAATAAAAAAACAGGTTTTATATATAAAGAAGCTTTTTGACCGCATTTCCCATGGGTACATAAAATTTGATGGTTCTCTACAAGAGTAATGTAAATTCCTGTATATATATATATATAGAGAGAGAGAGAGAGACACGTACTGTTCTGTAGCTGGCCGTAGAATAAGTTAATTATCCTATGATCATTTTGAGTTACAATAATTACTATACTAATTTATGATATTATGGTAACTCCCTCATAAGTGATTTACTATAGCATTATGGTAAGTATCATCTTGAATTATAATAACCCATGTATCGTAAATGTATATCGTGTATATATAGATAGATTTTCCTGCGTGAGAGAGATTTGCTTCCCGTTATCCAAATGGGATAAGTTGTCTCTAAAAATCAAACATATATACATAATGACATAGGTGGTCAGAGTGTCAGCACATACAGAGTGAACAAGAGGCAGGCAGCGCGCGTGGCCATGCCCCATGCATGATTGAAACTGGGCAGAGGCTGCCCGTTTGCTTCGGTTGCAAAATCTGGAGTGTCTTGGACCACATTTTTATCCATATATATGCATACAGTTTGTTTTTTTTCATGAATAATGATTCACTACCGGAAACATCAAATTTGCCGAGTGTTTTTATGTTTGCCGAGTGTATTCTCTCGAGCACTCGGCAAACAAGTTCTTTGCCGAGTGCTGCGCTAAAAACACTCGACAAAAAAAAACACTCAGCAAAAAGGAAGTTTGCCGAGTGTCAAAAAAAAGAGAGGGGTTTGCCGAGTGTTTTCTTTTTTACACTCGGCAAAGAAATAAAATCTTTTTTCTAGGAAAGAAGGAGAAGAAATAAAAAATAAAAAAATAATTTGCCGAGTGTCCAGATCTAAGACACTTAGCAAAGAAATAAAATCTTTTTTCTGGAAAAGAAGGAGAAGAAAAAAAACTAAAAAAAAACACTTTGCTAAGTGCCCAGATCTAGGACGCTCGGCAAAGGAAAAAATCTGCTTAATTAACCGGCCCTCGCCCGCGCCCCTTCCCTCCCCCTTCTTCTTCCCCCACCAGCGCCCTCTCTCCGTCGTGCCGCTCCCCTCCCTCCCCTTCTCCGGCGCACCCCTCCCCTCCTCCTCCTCCCCAGATCCGGCCGTCGCCGCTCCCCCTCTCTCTCCGGGTGGCGGCATGGTGCTGGTGGTGGCGTGGCGTTAGCGGGAGGCGTGGTGGTGGTGGTGAGCTCGCCGACGTGGTGGTGAGCTTGCCGGAGCTGCGCGAGCCAGTCGAGCGCGAGGTGGCGGCGGCCCTCCCTCTCCCTCTCCCCTGCAGGCGGCGGCGCTCTCCCTCTCCCCGAGCGCGGATCTGGCCTTCCCCCACCACCGGCGAGCCGGAGCACCTCCACAACTGGCAGATCCGGTGCCCCTCCCCCTTCTTCCCCGCCATTGAGCATGGACCGGGTCACGACGGCCCCTCGGCGGCGGATCTGGTCACGGCAGGGGCAGATTGGGCTGCCACGGTGGCAAATCTAGTCGCGGTGGCGGCGGATCGAGACGCGGCTGGGGTGGATCGGGTCGCGGTGGCAGCGGATCGAGGCGCAGCGGATCTGCCCCGTCCACCTCCGGCGATGGCGGAGGGAGGAGCGGCGGATCCGGGGTGGATCGAGCAACCCCGGCTGCGGCGGCGCACGGGGCGGGGCCTTCTTCCCCGGCGGCACCGGCGTGGTGGTGGTGCTGGCTGGTGCTGGCGGCTGCGGCGGCGGCCGGCTTGTTTTTTTTTTTTTTTTTCGAAAAAAAAGTTTGCCAAGTGGTTTTTGGCCACTCGGCAACGTCTTTGCGGAATGCGCAACAAAAAACACTCGGCAAACTAGCGTTTGCCGATAAAACGTTTGCCGAGTGTTTTTGGGGCTTCGCCGAGTGGCACTCGGCAAAGCTCCTGTATCCGGTAGTGATTACAGCACAACGAGTTCAGACCATAACACATAGTATGTTTATAATACTCCATTTAACAATATTTTCCAACAATTGAGTTTATCACCACCTCAAATTAGCTATTAATTAGTTTTTATAACTGCAAGTTCTGACGCCATGCATGCATGTATAGTTTTTCATTTGACACAGAATCATTTATTGTATTAGGTATACCAAAGTGTACCATGGTCATTTGCAGGTGCGCCGCCACGTTGATTAATTTTCCCCAGCTGGTGCCAATGCACCATGGTGAAGATATTTTTTTCTACTGTTAATTAAACTGAGATTTTACCATATAATCGTTCATGTTCTTTGATGAGTTATATATAGAGCAGTGCACCCGGGTAATTTCATTGTGCTAGCTTTGCCCATGGTCATTTGGAACTTTGGGAACTGACAATACCCCTTAGTTATTTCATTTGTAAACATGGGCACACTCTGGGATTAATATGGGGGAAAAGCCATTCTATTTAATTTGAGACAACGCTGGCCTTGTGTTGTTTTTGGACTATCAAACCACTACTGGAAAGCGGAAATTTTCTGACGGTGCAATTACCGTTAGGAAAATGTAAATTCAATTTCTCTGACGGTACACCGCTAGGGAATAACCGTCAGGTGCACCGTCAGGGAAATTGATCTTGATTTTCCTATCGGTTCTAAATCGTCATGCTAACTGTACACCGTCGGAGATAGAGGTTATGTTCTGACGGGCCGTTACTGACAGGATAATTATTTAACCCGACGGTAAGAAACCGGCAGAATAAAAGGGTAGTTATCCTATCGGTTGAGTAACCGTCAAAACAATTGCACTTTCCCTGTCGGTATCAATTTTTCCCTGTCGACTTACAACAGTCAAGAAATTATTTTCCCTGTCGGTGTTAAACCGTCGATGAAATTACGACCCACAGGACAATGATATACATCTAATGAATTCAATAGCATTTTCTATACATTTCAAAAAACAATATATTTAATATCATTTGCACAGAAAATACACAATTATTTTAAATATAGCTTGAATTTAATAAATATAACATGAATCCAATACATACAAAGTTGTCTTGCATCAACATACCAAAATTTATAATACATCTAAACATTTGACATCCATCTACCCAAAACAACTTCTCCAAATATTTATCATCAGCATAACAAGCTCTTGCACAACCATGAGTACGTGCTAGCTAAGCATTTACTACCAGCAGAGTACTGGATGAAGCAGCGATGGCAGCCTCACCATTGTCGCTGCAACCCCACATCTCCCTGGTATTGATGCTCCAGCTTGTCTATTAGTTACCACACTAATGTTTTGTAGAGGGTCTGCATAATAATAGCAGTCAACAAGTTTACCAATAAACTAAGCAAAATCACAAAAAGCACAATAACATTCAGATAGGTAAAATGAAACATGTTGCATCCATTTTCAGACAATGCACAATGACATTCAGTTTTCAGAAAAAAAAACATGCAACACTCTCAGGTTCCATGAACTACAAACTCCTGCTAAAAATTTGTGAACTACAGCATTCAAGAGGGCT